ACTGCAGCTGATGGCTAAGCTTCCCTCCCCTCCCTCCCCTCCTCCCCGCCCGCCCGCCCGATCCGCCCCCCTCGCCCGGCGTGGATCGGAAGAAAAAGAAGGCGGACCCCATCATGGGGGGAACGAGCGCACCGTGCAGAGGCGTGCCGCGCCCTGCCGCGCCCGCCGCCCAGCGCGAGGGCCGGGGCCCCGCACCGCTGAGCCCGCCCCCCGCCCCTCCCTCGCTCGCCCCTCCCTCTCCCTCCCCGCCCGCGCGACGCGTGCAGAGGCTCGCGCCGCCGCCCGAGCCGCGCCTCCGCCCTCCGATCCCCGGCCAGCATCTCTGCGCGCCACCGCGCCCGCGCCGCGCCCTGCCGCGCCACGCCCGCGCCAGGGCTCCGGGCCTGTGCCGCCCGCTCCGCGCTGAATTTTCCCAGGACTGCCTCCGTCCGATTAGGTACCGAGTCTGACAGCAGCACGTTAAAGCGCCATGGAGGATGAGGACCTGAAATCTGCCATCAACGTCGCCTGGGTGCTCCTGTGCACCGCGCTTGTCTTTTGGGAGCAGGCCGGCTTTGCCATGTGGGAGGCGGGCTGCCTCCGCTCGACCAGCTTGCACTCAATCCTTCTGAAGAACATGTGCGACGCCGCCATCGGCGCCGCGGCTTTCTTCACCCTCGGCTACGCCATCGGCTTCGGTGGAGGCGCCGACCACAAATTCGCCGGCAACGACAAGTTCTTTCTCAAGGCATGCGCGGCCCGCCTGCACAACCCTGCACCGCCGCCGTTCGCCCTCCCAGCCGCGCTCGTGGCGCACATGTCAGGGCGTGGCTATTGACGACTACCACATCGTCTTCTTCCAGTGGGCCTTCGCCGCCACCGCAGCCACTACCGTGAGCGGCTGCATGGCGGAGCGCACCCAATTTGCCGGCTACCTGATCTACTCCTTTTTCGTCACCGCCTTCATCTACGCTGTCCCCTTGCACTGGCTGTGGGCCGACGCCGGCTGGCTGTGCGCGTGGGGCGACAACGCCGCCTTTGGCTACGGCATGATCGACTTCGCCGGCTCCGGCATTGTGCACATGCTGGGCGGCGCCGCGGGGCTGGTCGGCTCGTATGTCGTGGGCCCGCGCGCGGGCAGGTTCACGGACAAGGGGCCGGTGCAGATCGAGGGGCACTCGATCACCCTCACGACGCTCGGCGTCTACTGCCTCTGGTTTGGCTGGTTTGGCTTCAACGCCGGCTACACGCTCGGTGCCACGCACACGCCCGCCCAGGCCGCCCGGCGCGCCCACCGCGCAGCACTCCGGCGCAGCCTCGCCATGCCTAGCGCCTGCGCACCGCGCGCA